TTGTTATCATCTTTCTACCACCATTTTCGTACTGGGGTAATTTAACAATAGATCTTCGTTGAAGGTTATTCGCACAAAAATATATGTTATTTTACTCCAGACAACATGTAACCGAAAAAACGTCGTTTAGTAAGCCATGAAATTTATTTTTAAAATGATGTTTAGCATTGCAGTCATATTTGTCAGTTTATTTGACAGGAACACATTTATTATCAGTACAGCAACTACTAAGTTTCTCCGGAAATGAATACCACTTTTTTAAACGGAATGTTATAATTTTTTGGTTAGTACTTATTGGGCCTGACACAATTTTTTCTTTTGATGCAGTGTCATTGTGGCGATATTTTCCCATATACGAACTTCACGTTTTTATTACCTTAAAAAAATAATTTTTAAGCATCGACTAAAATGTTGGCAATAACACGTTAGCTATACATACACACATTATCAAAAATAAGAGTGCTTTTTGACAACAGTGGATCTCAAAAGTAAACTATTTACAACTAAATGCGTTGTTTTATTTTCGGAAATTAACGACTCTTTTACAAAATACAAATAAACGAAAACAGAACATAAAACACCGAGTCCAAAATTTTATTTGTCAATAAGACATTAAATTTATTTTTATAGTCTTTGAGAATAATACGTTTATAACGATAATAGTGTGTTTATTTAACCTTTTATATGACCAAAATGTAAGTTCTACTGATAAACATTTTTATTGTCTAGTAGTTAATACCTACTTTTCTATTACGCGTGTAATTAGTCGATATAAAGAATTTGTCCTCGAATGCACGCTTCTGCAGTTTATGCACTAAAAAAAATTCGCGTCTGGTTTATACCAGAACGCAGACCTCAAACACCTTTTCGTTCAAGGCCCGAAAAAATAAATAACATAACGACGAAGAAAATTAGACGCCAGATTTTGTTTACCCATTGAGAGATGGTTGGGCAAACATTTTGTTTTTGTGCACTTGAGAAGTGAAAAGTCTTACGTTCTGTTCTATTTAAAATCTAAAAATTGGCCAGAGGTGATAAATTATTTTCGGTCATTACTGTTGAAATTAGGGGACTAATCACATCGAAGTACGCCTGACTATACAACCAAAATCAATCAACTCTAACACAAATTATTTCTTATGTCAGTGCGTGGGTTTGAATCTGTAGAAGAATTTCATAATAGTAATTACAACGTCTTCGTCTACTTATTTTTTAAATTACAGTGAAGTTTGCGACCTACACCACAATAACGTTCGCAAAAACAAATCTCCTTGATTCATTTTTAACCGTTAAAACCGTCATACATCGTAACAATTGCCCTTGTGCTGATAACATTTCCTTGCAGTGAAATCAGGGAACACAATGCAAGCCAGTACAAACCGGTACGTGTTTTTTGATGTTTAATAATAGTATTAACCAATTGCCTGTCATGATAAAAGCGTTTATACTAATGTAAATACAGGCTATAAATAAGTGATATTTTGTGTGGAATAATACAAAGGGTTAGCGGGCTTATCTACGATGTCATAAAGCAAATACGCGAGAGACAGTCACTCTTATTGATGATATCACGTGCTCTTCCGACATGAAATTGCAATCTCACAGTTAAATGCGCAAAACCGGGCAAAACTTTCATCTACCTTTCCGTTTGACACGTTGCATTACGAGAAAAGCTTGCGGTTCGACGACGAAGTGAGAATAATTTCCGCTTTTTCTAGTTACGGCTACTTGACCTACGCGACGTCATGTGTTGTTGTGCAAGAATAAATTAAACTCGTTCATTAATTGTTTTTTCGCAATGAACTTTAGTATTACATTGAATTTAAACTGGTTAATTTACGTATCAAGAGAGTTCGATCCAGTTAAAACCAAGCTACCTGGCTACGGCGCTGTCTTGTTTTGTTATCAGCTTAGACTCAAACGTCAGTGGAAATAATTTTATGTGCTGATAAAAATTTTCCTTGCTTGTTACGCCCCAGCTACCGAGTTACGGAATTAAAATAATGTGTAATGTAATGTGTTTCGAGTATTACTACTAATGTTGCCAAATAATTTTGCTTTAATCGTTTAAAAAGCTACACAGATTATTTGTTTCCGGAACGAATTAGGCCACAATGAAGAATAATGTCATAATGGCAGATCTTTCTAAAGTGCCCACACTATTTTATTAATAGTAGAAGTACCACTTACACGTTTTGAATATCGTATGATGTACGATGCTGAAAATAAAATGAATTAGAGTTGGCGTTCTTGTCAACTTTTAAATGCTCTCAATTTGACATAAAACATGTCAACATAACCTGTAACTATATGAATTGATGTACGTATTTGATTTTTGACAATTATGTTTAATTTTCGATCACACAATATTAACTCATAAGGTCATAAGTGACCGTAGAACAATAAAATCATTTGCAGTATAAAACGGAATACATTTATTTGTCAAGCAACAATACTATATTTTAATATGGAAATATACCTACTAACATATTGTCTATGTAAAATGGCCTCAAAAACTCTTAACCTATTGGAGATAGTTCTTTTGAGTTACAACGCTAAAATTACAATTAGTAGCTAGACAAGAACATTTAGTTTTTTAACTTCTTACATACAAAATTTTTTTGAAGCACAAAATAAACTGTAATTGTATAACTGAAGTTTATATGTATGTATGTATTTCCATTAAGGATGTTAAAACTTTTCATTTTTAGCTACGCAATACTTGCTAGCAGTTTATTAAAAATTACTTTGAAAAGTAACAATTTAACGACATTTTTTTTTTATAGAAACACTGTTGTCTTTTAACATCAAGGCCGGGAGTTTAAATTGACGTTATTGTTCTAAAAATTTGCTTTAAAGCTTATCGCCACCTTTGCAATAGATTTAAAAATCTAGGAAAATCAAAGGTCCCCTACTAACCATTAAATAACTTAATAAGTGAAGGATTACCGAAAGTACGCCTGTACATATTTATATTTTTACAGCGAAAAAACTAAAGTAATAACGCTTTCTGCCAGGTAAACAATGCGAACGACCTCGCTTTGTTACACTAAAGTGTTGGTGATCCAAGAATTTACTCACATATCAATCATCACTTCGCTGTGCGACAACAAATATTTAACGTTTCTAATTTTTGATACTTCAGTAACGACGAATTTTGTTTCTCTTTTCTGTTTAAAAAAATGGCTTTTTTCAAAAACTTAGCTTCTTGTAAAAAAGTGCAAGAGAATATTGGTCTAGAATCGTTTAGATCACCTCTCGAGCACAATCAAATACGAGTTTTATTTTTTGCAAGTTAAAAAAGAAATACGGTTGAATTATTAAAATCCAAGTAATGAACCAAATGGCTGAGATTTTCTTGATTAAATTTGGTAATGACGTCATCAACTTTTAGTGGGGACAAATACCTCTCTAATAACAACAGTACTGTGTTCCAGAAATTCAGGAAAATGAGGTAACCCGTGCTTCATTAATTTTGTTGAAACATCCGTTATAAAAACTGTAAAAAATACCCGCTTATGAGGAAACACGTCTAATGAGACTGACACTACAAAATATTGGACAGACAAATTCTGATTACTAATTTATCATGTTTAAGATGACCTTAAAAAGTGTGGAAAAATTCAGAGCACCAGTGTTGTTGTATAATTCCATTTTTTTCCAAAAACCCACATTCGCAAGGTTAAAAACTAAACCGGATTAAGAAACCACAGTTCAAAAAATATATATTATTTTGCACATTTCAGACAGAATTTATTTGGCGTTTTTGTGATGTTTTAAAACAAATCCAAAATTTTACAACAATTTATACAGGCGGAAACGGAAGACCTACTTTTTCATAATGAAACATCGACAAATTCATTACGTACGGGAAGTAAAAGGAGTGGAAAGGGATAATTTACGATTTTTAGTGTTAGATTGTATTTAGTTTCATTCTTAAGAAGTTGAAGATGTTGATGTTTTCCTTGTAGACTTGTAAACCATATAAAATTAGTTAAAAACTATTTCTAACAACTATTGTTTGACTACAATATTTTTTCAATAAATAACATAAGACATGTCGGTATTTTTTAGATTATTTTTTTAATTAAGAGACACTTGTGTAATGTTTGTTCACGTTTAGAACATCCACCAGCTGCTGATTTAGATATATAACAACACAATTAACATCTCTTCCAGAAAATAAATAAAATACATAATCCAGCAAAAGCTTATGTCAACAACTGACGTAAATATATATAAAAAAAGTTAAATTTATCGAAATACAGCAAAATAAAAAAAACTAATCTTGTAAAATAAAAGCTTAGATCAAAAGTGTTACCAACACAACTTAACCAAAATTTCGTTTTGCCACATATATTTGAATAAAAAAACCACGTGAGATTAATCGTATGATTATCATTGTGTGATAATGCAATAAACGTTCTTGTAAACTTTATCACACCAGGTTTAAGATCACATGATCTCCGTGGTTAGTCATTCATAACAAATTTAATGAAAATGCAAACCTAATGCAGCTCTAAATATATTTAATAGAGTATCAACTTCAGTAACTCCTAAAATATTTGCACTATACTGTTAATTTAAGTATTAATTAAGGATAAAAAGTTAAATAATCTTTACAGGAGTTTTTAAAGTGAGGTACGCCATTACCACCTATATTAGAGGTCGTGGAATTTACAAGTTCAGGAATAACCTGACTTATTTTCCCAACAAAACCACAATATTATTGGATTTATAGAATTAATTATAATATTAATTATTCCCTCATAACATCCATTGCAATTAACTTTCTATAAATAAAAAATCTCGTCAGGAAAAAAAAGAGTACTTAGAACTGTACTTTACGCAGCTTTCGTTTTAGTATACTTATCATATTACTTACAACACTTAAACCATCAACATTTCCCCAAACAAACCGTGAATTAAAAATACAGCAAAACAGTCCATCAACGCTAGATTTTTAAACCAAAACTTCAAACACGTCTGTTTATATTTACCTGTCAGTAGCAGCAATAGGGGCGATCGGCGGCGTGTTCAGCACAGCATCATTGGGAATCTATAAAAGAAAATTTACTTAACTCGGCTCCCGAAAAAGCGCATATTTATTTTGGTAGAGTATTTATCCAATAGGAAACACGTAAAAAAGTTCATAACAACACCCGGATGACGACATAATCAAACTTGTGTGTTTTCAAAGCGGTAGAATCTGGTTCAAACAACAATGAAGAAGAATGTACTTTTTCATTGAAAATCTATACGTTTTCAGTTGTTCCGAGTAATCGTACGTGGTTGCAGTTGAGGTAAGAAACACTTACATCATTAAGTACGGTACATTCGTAGCTTGGTTGGTATTTTTCTTGCTCGGATAGCGGCCGTTTCATGATTTTTTCTCGATCTTGCTTGTGCTTTCTATCAGCCCCTTTTAGTTTGAAAACTTTTATTTGACAAGCAGCTGCGTGAAGACGTACGGATGAGTCGAGGTTGTCGCCGTTCTGGTAGGTTTCTACTTGGATGCGGAAAGGGACGCCTTTCTCACCGCCGTGTTTTTTCGGGGTAAATTCTGTGCTGATGCAATTTACCTGGAATTGTGGTTAAGCTTTATAAAGTTATACAAACGCATTAGGTTAAAATGATCTGGGTAGACATTGAACCATATACGAGTAGAAGACGTGAAGTTTGTTCTACATAGGATCAGACTTTTTATTAAACTTACTTTTCTACTCAAATTATACTGTCTTTTGGAATACAAAATTAAATCATAAAAAAGAAAACTTTATGGTTACGTTTCTGTTTTGGCTTAATCTAAGTATTCGGCGTCATCATACACGTACTTTCTTATAAACGGTTGTACTTAAGGAAAAACATGTTGACGTTAATATAAATGACCTCGATGCACAACACGACTGAAACGTTAAGATGTCTTCAAATATTATGGAGAGATTTACGTAATCCTTGCATGCGGAACATGGAAAATTTGAATGAATTTGAGTTCAATCACTTTATTATGGACTGGCTAGCTGATTTACTGCTGTGTTTAAACATGTATTTACGATATATTTTTAGCATGACTAAATTTTCAGTTTATAAATTATGTTTTTTATGAATTGTAGTGATTGTGTAAGCACTTTAATACCAGTCTGGCCATGACGATCTCACACTGACTAGATAAAATTTTTAGAACATTGGCGACAATGAGGCTTTTGTTTCCTCTTTGTTTCACCATTTTTAGACAAACTTCAAATAAAAGTTGATCATATTTGACATGTGTAACATCCATCATTGATAAAAATTACTACAAAATTTATTTGCATTTTTTAGCTTTTTGGCATAGAAATATTTTTAGATTAGTGCTGCTGACAATTAAAAAAAACGAAACACGTGTATTCATATTACGTCAACATCCAGCAAAAAAAAGTGATTGGTTGTAGGTTATGTAGATATAATTTACGTCAAATTATGGACAGTCGTACCACCCAAAACTTGACAAGCAATGCCAACTCGAATCCGCACGCTATTTACTCAACGGACATTTGAATGGTCATAGTATTCGTAATAAGCCCAAGATGGAGAGACACTGAGGGATATTTCCGTGATTTCTAGTTCCTTAAAAATGTAAACAACAATCACTTGGATGAAATTGTAATTTGAACGTTTTAATTATTCCTCATGACAGTACATATTTTACATTTTGTTAACACTATTACATTCTTTTTAAGTAATATATAAGTACACAATGGACCTATCTACTGAATAGTCGTAAACACGAACAGACCGAGGATTACTGCATGTTAGTAAGAGACAGAGGTTTGCGCATAACATCTTGGGTACACAGCCAACATCTTTACCGCAATTTTTAAAACAGCGAATCAACATCGTGCAATTTAAAACGCTCGGTGGCGCTCGGCATCCTCGAGAGGCATATCGGTTTGTCGTGCACTTCTTTGACATGATGAACGTAAACAAACAAATACAGCACACCTACGCCATCTGCCATGTTATATCCGAGACCGCTGCCTGTTTCGTTCATTGTCAGACTTTTGAATTACGCGGTAACTTTACACATGGTGACTGCGCATGCTATATTCGGGTGTATCTTTTACGACTATTCAGTAGATAGGTCCATTCCGAATGCAGCAATTTATCTTCTCAAGAAAAAACTTTACTTTAAAATGGCGACGTATATAAACTAATTTGCTGCACAAAAAAAAAAAAAAAACTTTCTATTATCTGCCAATGGTGATTATCCCCACCACAAAATACTGTTTCAACTAAGCTGGTTCTGAACGGTTTGAAACAGTTTCGCCTGTAACATCGTTGTTTGAACCGGTAATAAAATGCATTGTTTCAAAATGATCTGAAAATATTTCTTATCGAAAAAAAAAACTCACTAGTGTACTTGGAAGTACAATAAATAGTGGAGACTCTTACTGTCGCCGTCACTGAATTCTATTAATCAATAAAGTTAATAGCAATAATTTTATTATTGGGAACTTCTGGTAAATCATTATCATTTGCATTTCCAGTTTGCATTTAAAAATGTTTCGATTTGACGTAGTATGATTAAATGAATATACGATATATAAAATGTGCGCATTCATCACTTACGCAAACCACATGTCATCTGTATTTTTCGGAATTACCATTTTGAATAATTATTAAGACAGAAAATTGGTGTGCAACTTCATAAATGCTGTGAAGTGGTATTATTGTATTAAAAATAATTTTGACGTTCAAAATTGCAGCTTAAAATGCAAGATGTGACACTGTTATCCGAAAAAAGCCTTAAACACCAATGAAGACGAAGAAATCAAGCAGCGACATTTCTATATTTCCAAAACGAGAAAGAATAGGACCAGTTTGATCCACAGTAAATTATATTTGTAGTTAATACGTAGGTAGCATTTTAGATAAAAGTTGTGGTTATTTAATCTCTAGTCAGACGAACAAGGAAATTAGTTGAGTCAAACTATAAACCCGGAAAAAAGCACTACTGATAAATAAACAAAACCACAATGTAGGAAATCAGTAATTTAGCAATGTGTAATTTTATCGTGCTAAAAAAAATGTAAACCACAATAATATTATTTGTAAACCCCTACTTGTAACAGTGAGTCTTATAATTTTGATTTTGTAAGTACAAATTTTAGGAAGTGAACTTTAAATTTATAAACCACCATTACAACACAAAACAAACTACTCTATTTATTACAGATAATTATTATTTATAGTAAAATTATTTAAACTAGAAATAATCAATTTGTTGAGTGAGTGTGAATGTTTGAGTAACTTTAGTAGGTTAGACGCTATTTGAATTATTTGCTTCCTTTTTTCTTTATTTTGAGAAGTTTGCTGGCATTTTTTCCTAACAGAGGATGATTCCATTTCCCGTGCTTTTTAATTTCAACTTCAGCTTCAGCGAATAAAAAGGCTGAAGATCACAGAAAACAATGACCTATTACATTACAGGGTGTGTCAAGTGTCCCATTTGTACTCTTTGTTTGTGGACTGAGAATATCAAAAAAAGCAACAACAGCAGTATGTTTTAATCAAATACGAGAATATCGTGTCTCTCTATTTAGAAACTAAACAGTTTGTTCAGAAATCAGCGGTTTAAAAAAGTGCTCCCTACAAAACAATTGTTTATTTATTTAATTAAAAAACTGCAAAATGCCAGCGGTTCAATGCTACCCTTTTTTTGAAATCTGGTACTCACTTTAATATATACGCCCACTTCCTTAGTAGGATCCCAGTTAAAGTGTATAAGATTTAAGGCATTAGATGGTTGGACAATATCAAAAGCACCATACGAAAGAGGCACATCAACTTCCAAAATTCTATCACCCGGTCGAGCGCGTTGCCACGACGCCATCTGTTCTTTTTCCATGAACTGCAATCTCCGTTCGTGGAAACACATTCTAACAACCGACTAAAACAAATCCCAATAAAATAAAACAATCACACCAAAATCGTAACCCACCTTTAATAACTTTCCTCTATACATGGACAAATCGCCCAGTTTCTTCAACTTGATTTCGTAACTCTGTCCTTGATTAAGGTACGTCAACGTGTCTTCGTTAACTTTAGTGGCAATACTTGTGGCAGCGGCCAGAACGTATTGAAATCGGCAATCTTCAGCAAAATTGTAGTTAGTAGAAGTAACGTTATAATTGTCCTGCGAGTTCGGTGAAGAGACCAAATTGGCGTCTATAGCGTTTTGCAGGTTAGTGTACGCAGATTGACTGAGGAGTTGATTGATGGTGGTGTTGATCATGTTCTGGTTGTTCGCTTCGTCGATTGTCCCATTGTGGACACCTACTTGCTGGGTAGATGTGGGGCTTTGCCGATTTTGTCTTGCTATTTGCAGGGAGGCCGCATCGTGGTTTGTGGGTGATGGGGCCTCCTGCTTGAAGACGGTCAGACCGGAAATTGAAAGGATGGCATCGCTGGAAAACGTAGAATTGCTTATGTCTACAGGATGTAGCAACATTATTTGATGATTATAAAGAAGTATCCAGGAAAACGTGACACTAATGTCGTTAAAATCTGTGCAAATCAAACTATTTAAGTCTGACCACTGAAACATGAGATCACATGACGTCAGTCATGTGATGTGATTGCCCTCTAGTGATTGGTCTATTATTTGCCGTGTAATAATATTTTTAACAGAAAATATCAGTTCAAAACTATAGTTACAAAGTTTGAATAATTCTAAGCATACCTTTTATTTTGGGCACTATCAGCACAAATAATTGTTGTAATGCAATAACTTAAGTTATATATTTGAAAATTTACTCTTACTCTGATGGAAAGAATATTAACAACTGTCAAGTCTCTCGGAAGTGCGTATCAACTTTTTTTTCAACTAAACTGATTTTTTAATCGTATCTGACGGAACTTTTTTTCTGCACCGATATTGTAACTGTCATCTGTCAGTATTAAAAAACAAACACAGTAAATATAAGGTAAATGTTATCTTAACATTGATTTACGTCAAATTGAGGGCAATAGTATCACCAAAAGCTTGACATGTTTCTAAAAGGCATCTTTTCTTTTAAATAACGTCTCAAAAAGAGTTACGTAATGCAAGATCCGAAAATCTTGCAGACTATCGAATGCAAAGTACTTAAATTTGCATGATTCTGAGTGGTGAGATGATTCTATGGTCTTATTTAAAAGAAAATGTATATTTTGTACGTCTTATAAAAAATTGAAAACAAATATATTAAAGAAAAGCCAGCATTTAAATCAATATATTCTTTACACTACAATTATTCAGGATGTTATAAAGATGACTCAATTATTAAAGATATATGCGGATCCTGTTACACGAAATGGTGGTTGTAGGAATTTAGGTCAGGAAGTCTTGTTTCCACGTTACTTAAAATTCAATTTTATTTAATAAAGGCGAGACATGTTTCAAGGACTTCAGTCCTCATCTACAATCATTAGAAAGATCTTATTTGTTGCTAGGGCACGTGGTACAGCAACAGATAACATCTTTCTATGAAGTCTTCGAAACATGTCCCTCCTTTATTAATAAAATTGAATTTTAAGTAACGTGAAGACTTCGATTCCTATATAAATGACTCAATTCTGTTTAGAAGTTAATGTATTTTGTTTTTTAATATTTACAATACTCTCGTTTTAATATTTTGATACTTTTTTCTTTTTTAAATGCATATGAAAATATCAACTGGATTGGTAAAATGAAGTCTATGAAAATTCTACTACGTACACTTAGCAAATGTATACAATTCCATCTGAAATAAACTTGCAATCACTTCCGGAAAAACTTGACAGTTATCTTATCCGTTGCATCAGAGTAAGCGTAGATTACTTATTTTCATCGAAGTGCAATTTTCTACGAACCATTTGTGCGACACTTTTGTCGTTTATCTGTACCAAGTTCTATGGCATCAGTTTCACTCGTTCTTGAAGATTCATCGTGGACATATCTTTAAAATTTATTTTTGTAGAATATCGTTGACGTTTTTGATGTTACATACTTTTTTATGATAGAAATGTTTGTTGCTGGGTTTTTTTTATATTTGTTGTTATATAAAAACCTACTTATGATTCGTCGTAGTAATGAATTGGGTGCAGGTTCCAAACCGATAAACAAAACCCCCCAAAAAAATTCGATATAACTGGATTATCACACTTATAGCAGAATGTAGATCAAGCTGGCTTTGAAATTTCGTGAATTTTGGCGCTTCGTTGTGATGACAGATGATTACTTGTTGCCTATCACAGACATCAATAACTTAACTTTCTTAATTTTCAGAAGTATGAACACTAAAATATAATGTCAAAGTACTCTGAATATTTTTTCCAAGAATGTTAAATTAAATACAGCTAAGCTACTGTGATACGAATACAATATTTTTGTTTGTGTTATTTTTAAAGTGTAATAAATTATTTGGAGAAATAAGGAAGCGGCAAATTCTAATTTAAAATGGAGTGACATGTTTTCCGAAACCGACTTGACATTTTATGATCACCTGTATTTATTTCATGTGATATTACATTTTAAATATAGTTTGGTAGTTTAAAAGTTTTAATTAAAAATTGTTCTTTTTTACTTTTAAGTCGTAAGGGACGTGTCCATGGTGTCAAATTAGCTTATGCATGAACAAGGAAACATGACGCATTCAAGGTTCGCTGTTTTCATTTCTTGTACTTCCTACAATATGAACACTTTGACATTTGAAGCAAATCTGTCTCATGAGTGGTTGGAATATACATTAATTCACTTCACCAAACTTTTAAGTAAGTAATTTTGGCTACATTACTCCTGTAATTTTTAAGTTATTTAATATTCTTTACAAGAACTACAACATTGGTAAAATATCACATTTGGTTACATAAAAAAAGTCCCTAGATATTCCCTTGAAGATTAAAATTATTCCAACTGACCCTAGAATTAACAGCGACCTATGCGAACTACTTAAAATAAAAACAAGCTAACCCAATACAAAAAGCTTATTCAAATTTAAAAGACCACTCCTAAGTATTATAGCTGTATTCTCAGAACGTTACTTTTGTATGCATTAAAATTTGATAACTAATTATGAGGGTTGCAGGGCACAATAGCAGGATTTATAGGGCTTTTAATTGAAAGAATTCACTGAAAATAAATGACAAAAAATTATTTACAAATGATCGGAACTAATATTAATTATATCATTACTATTGTTGAAATCATTTTCCGGTATTCGTACATCTTCTGATAACGATGCTAGTCAGTAGGACGCCCAGTAGCCATAGTTTTTACTGTAATGAGACAACGACAACAAATCTCAAAGACATTCTTGTCTTCACTTTAAGAAAACTCAGAATAGAATGAATTACAATCAGGTAGAAATTCTAGATAGTCTCTTCAGGAACTCCTGAAATACTGAAAAAATTACCCAGATAAAGAAAATTCTTCATTCGAAAGATTCAGATTTGCTTCAAAGAAACAAATGTCCTTTAAAGAAAGACATTTTTGGTAAAATTAACTAAATAACTCACCTTTGAATCCGATTTTTTTATCAACTTTGTTTCCTTTTTAATACACATAAGCACCTACCGTTTTTGCAAATATTTTTTTTTGCTGCGTAAAGTATGTCTCTGGAGGGGGCTTTTACCTGCTACTGGTACAGTGTCATTAGGAGCAATACATTTTTAGTGGGAACAAAAATAACGTTCTAATTAGACGCCAATTTTTCTGTGGTACTTGTGATACGTAAAAACACGAATTAAATTGTATAGACTTAGAGCCTTATTCCATATTATCTATTTTTAATTAGATTCTGAAAACTATCATAAATATTCATAATAGTGTAATTATATTCATCACAACGCAAAATTTATTTTCGCAAGTACTTGTATCTATTAGATTACGCAATCAACTAGATGCCATGTTCCTAGTACTTCTATCTTGAGCTTGCCAACCATATTTTGATCTATCTTACCCTATGGTATCGTTTAGGCTGTGGAGTGCCACCTTACCTGACATTGTAGGAATTGCTTGCCAAGTCTGAGCCCAAGCTGAGCGAACTGTCGATATCACCGTTCAGCTCTGTTATGTCGTCTACCTGCCACGTAGGCATTCTAACAGCACCTGGAACGATTCATTCAATTGACATTTGACAATTTTTTCGTATTTTAAACGGAACAATGAAATGAAACGGTAGCAGCTAAAACAAAAACAAATATTTTCTCGCTTAACTTATCTAAGTGCTCGCTGTTATGTACATAGTAACGTAACCACGACATTCGCTCGTTCGGTTTCATGCACCTATCAAAATTGACCTTCAATTTTTAACGATGAAACAGAATCAGATAAATTGTTCATTTTTTCTGTGACGTTGAGGTTTATTTTTGTTTGTGACTTGTCGTCTTATCGATAAACTATAAACTACTAACAGCACATTATTTATTTAGGACATATTGCAATGTTAAAGTGGTTCATAATTATGTGATAGAGTCGTCTGTAGACTGCCTAATAATTGAAAAGGTCGCCTTAACAATACTAATTGACGTCACCAAACAATTTTTCCACTTGTCGGATAATTCTAGTTGTGTGGCTTGAATATTTAACGTATCGTACTTATTTTGTTTGTAGGTAAAAGAGACCGTGTACACATTAGTGTTGATCAATGGATTTGACCTTGCCTGGAAATGTTCCGGAATTTAATTAAAATTAAAAAATCGATTACTCCGAAAATGGAAATAGCAGGTACTCTTTCGATTCAAGCGGTTAAATATTTTGACAAGGTATGAGAAGCCTAACGTCACGATTAATACTGGAATTTTACATGACTTAAATTAACTTTGTAAGTAATAATTACTTCTTATTATCACTTTTATTTTGTAAAGTGTACTGAAAAATTGGAACCGCAGGCCACTTCGAGCCAACATTCGATAAACACATGTACTCGTGATAAGAAGTGATAACTTCTCTTTATAATAGAATACAAACACAATATTACATCTTTGGAAATATGTTGGAACGGCTTTTGTCTACTTTGATAACAAAAATCCAACGAAATGAAAGTAAAGCCGAACTATATTAAAAAAAAAAGATAACAATAATCTGCCACTTGAATTATTACAGCACTTGTTTTTACTAGTAGCAGCACGTAATTACAGCGATACGTAACCAACTGCAACATCATAGCGTTTTGCATAAATTATGAATGAATGAAAGGAATTTTAGACAAGGTATTCGTATGCAATACATAAAATGTGGAATGCAAACATGAAAATAAGCTGTGCAAAATAAAGCAGCAAGTATTTTCGCACTTTCGTACAGCCTGCATATGCAAATACACCTACTCATTTTACCACGTAAATCCTCGAAGCAATGAACCTGTTTCATTAAAGAAAATAACTAAATATCTAAATACACAGTTGCTCGTCCAACTTTTAATACACAGAAGTTATTTAAAACTCACAAAATCATAAAGACGTCAGCGTGCTAAATCAACAGAAATGTAGCGATGTATATTCGTTGTTACATTATTTGTGAAATGTCATAAAAAGAAGAAACACCTATTACTGGAACGTGTTTACTATTTACTTGTCACTAATGAAAGTAATTTATAAAAATGTCGATTTCTGTGAATATAATACGTAGGTGTAATGGAATACCGGCGAAGTTATTATTTTTATGCAAATGAATTTAAAACAGGTTGAGACCTTTTGATATTATGAATACAATATATTTGGAAAATGTTGTTGCTTTTTATGGTGCAAACTAAATTAGACGAAGTTCAAGGACCTGATAAATATGAAAAGCCAACCTTCATACATTTTTACAGTAACTTACATAATTTAGTTCAAAATGCTTCATTCCGGTAAAGTGTGGAAGCGAATAAATTCCAAAACAAAAAATATATTGCACAAAAAATTCTAACAAGAGAAGCAGTTTTTCTTTTCGATGGTGCTTCTGTGTCTGTGACGTCAGAGTTGAAGGTTTCTGCATAGCGAATTGTTGATTTCGTGGTTACATATACCAAACTGAACGAAACTGAATTAAACCGTAACATTTTTCAAGAGAAAAAGATTTTTATGCAAAAAATTTAATGTGTCACTGACCTCTAAAGTGTAATAATAAACCATTATATGTATAAATTTGTCAACATTAATAAAAAAAAGTATTTCTATTTCAAATTTAATTACAAAGAGTGTTATAAAAGTTATTTCACTGACGCAGAATTAAAAAACTAATCTTTTGTTTCTGACTTTATTAAACAAGCACACACCAGTTATTTTGAATCTCAGTATTACACACACGTGAAGGTTAGTACTTTTCAATTTTTCACACACTAATACAAAAGTACACACTTACGTACAAAAGGGCAATACCTTGGTAAACTTTTCGGGATTCAGGAAGCGATGTATTCCCAAATACTAAATATACAACATCTCTCCGTCCGCAATTATGGCAAACAGAATACAAACTGACAAATTTTGCTGTTGTGGCTAACCACAAAATAAGTTTTTAAAATTTTATTCCAGGTGTACGCACATTAAACGCAACCGAATTTATGGCAATTTTATGCTAAAAGCGCTAAGTCGAAGCCTCTTCGAGATTCCGATTTGATAGAGTTCAATTTTTAATAGTGAAGCTGTAACGTTCTATGTACATGCACATACTTGAACAGTATTTTTGATTTTTTTCCAATACGATTGAATTTAGTGGGCATTTTATTTTAACAATTTCCTAAATGTCTACACATTTATGTTAACTGAATTTTAAATTGCCGTTAAAAGTATTCGGCCGATCTTTTGTTTTTAGATTGTTAAATAAATTGTGTTGTAAAATTTTAGTGTCTCGCACTGATAATTTTATTTTTAATAGTTTGTAGAAGATAAAATTAAATTGATAGACAAATTAAATTTGTTCAATATCGTTAGTCATCACTGTAAAGGTTTTTGGAGTTCTCTTAAAAACTGTTTTCATATTATGTAAAATGAAAGGGATATTATAAATGCAGAAGTGTGTCATTCCATTTAAAAAATGTGGCCATGACATCACCAGAATTACCAAAAATTAATTTACCCGTCGGATGCTTTTATAATATATTATTAAGTGTTCAGCAATTTCCCCAGTGTAATAATAACAGTACGTTGTCGTTCTTGCATCTGTGTTTTTGCTGCAAAAAAAGAAAAACTAAGATCTTCTAATTGAAAAGTTCTTACCATATTTGTACTTTCAAGTTGTTGAAATTTGCTGTAAAGCTATTTTGGGATTAATTTCTTTCTTTCATTTGATTTTAAAAACAATATATTAAATAAAAAAAAAGAGAATAGAAAATGATAAATCCAAATTTTTGAAGTACAACCAGCAATAAGTTTTGCGTCCTCTAGACTCAATCAGGTGAACCTAATTGGGCTCAGATTCAGAAAAAGGGAAGTTTTGGCTCAGTTTTCAGGTTTTGACAGCTATAATTTTGGCATCACTTGTTAGTCATCGCTTTTTCTGCCAAGTTTTCTAAAATTTTTGATAATTTCTAGAGACAACCTAGTTTTTGTCAAACCACCAAACTTCTATACTCGAGCTACTGTTGTGTTCAATGAAAATGGGAAAAGCCAAAAGAAAATCTGTCATTTTTATTAATTTTTCCATAGTTTTACAACGGGTTTTTAAATTTTAGGTTAGAAACTTGAACAATTGCATCTTAAAAAAGCAGAATACCTGTATATTATCTACGAAAATCCAGAATTTAGACCTATTACTATAAAATTAAAATCTTATTGTAAAACTCTTAAACACTTAAGGTAGGAACATTTTTCTCAACTTTTCCAGATAAACTTTATATAACTTAACGCCGTCTAGAGTAAGTTCGGATTTCACAGATAATATAATACTGTGGTTTTATTTTTAGATATTGATTGCAAAGAATAATACCACAGATAACTAATATAGACTACAACTATTATTGCTATATCATCAATAAATTTGTTCTCGCAGATGGACGCGAGACAAAGGAACTGTGTTGGGAAATGATTCATGCTTAAATGATTACGGAACTAGAATTTATTTGTCAAAATAATCTTATATATGCTTAGATAGTGAAATGGATTACTTCCTACAAAATATCTTGGTGTCGTTTAGCTGGCATCTCAAAATTAAAGTTTGCACTAAATTTCGATACAATTTGTTTTCTTTATGACGGCTTGTAACTTTAATTTAGTCAAAGCAGATCAATCCAGTGTACTTTTCGAATTAGAAAAGTATCCATGATTCAGTAATAAACCCGTTTTGTGTGTGCCTCTACTACTATTAAAATTGAGCTGTTAAGATTCTAAATTCAGTTAATCGTTTGTAAAGATATCATTCAAACTCCATTTACGTCAGAACTGTATAAAAATACTGCTTCTGTCGTCATTAATTCTGTTATAATGCCCTTATATATTTTAATGTAAATGTATAACTTTTTTCCAAAAGCCCATTATATTTGGATCGTATATTATGTTCAATTGAACTGAGTGTATGAACACATTGATGTTACAGATTTCCATTAAATAAAAAAAAAAAAAGTCTTTTACAGATGTCTTTATCATTATGAGCTATGCAAAAATTGACGCAAACATTTCGCAGAAACTGCTTGGTGACAAATAAATACTTAATCCAAATATTGTGAAGCCTAATGTCAATAGAATCGTTTCGCGCATCTGCCCCCGTTTACCTGTTACTAATTGGAGTTTGTTAGTGGCAAAGTTAGACGACTGTGTTAATGAAACGTAACAAGAAAGTCAGACAGACGACACACGTTTTACACCTACCACTCTGTACGGAGGCCTTTTTTTGATTTTGTTTCTCATCGACCGCAAGAGGATCTTGGACAGATTTGTAGGCAGTTGTTTGTTTGATTTTCGAGGGGCTAGCCTCAATAGTGGGCAACTTTCTCTTGCGCGATTGCCGGGTGTTGGAAACTTGCCCATGTTCTACGTGATCCTCGTCGATTTTGAGGGGGTTCCAATCGAAATACTCGTCGTTATTGTCCATGCTACCGTCACTAGGTATGTTCCATGAATTTTTCGAATTATTTGGATTTTCACCGTTCAACAAAATGTTCGAGTTGTCATATAATTCGTAATCCATACTACGCAAGCCGCGGGGGCCCGGACCTCCGGATTTTAACTCAAACCTAACTAGTTTTCTAAGGGGCGTTACCGAAACGAGTCCTGGATATGCGAAAGATTTCACGTTTTTTTAGAACATAACGAAGAAAGAGTTATACAATTTCTTGATCCCGGTGGTCTCTCGTTGACGGTGATTTTGAAGCAGGCTGTTATCGATCGTTAACATTTTATTTAGTAAGTGATACAATTCAATATCCATTTAGCACACGATTAACTTAAATAGTCAACCCCTTCTGTTTAAGGGTACGCACCACCGGACACACAACCAACTACTCAGATTAGTTTTCCGTTTTTAGCCGTTTTGGCGAATACGATCACACCCAATGAATGTCCGCCATTCAAGAACTTAATCATTCGGTTTCATACACCAGCGTATTGTTTTCGCACTTTACTATTGGTGGAAATTATTCACACAGGTTCCCGACAGCTGAAGCGCCTTCCAAGAGTATCGGATCTGAACTGACGGAGACCTTGTTTAAACAACTGCTCGTCTCATCAATTGTTGAATTACTTAAATTGGGCCCAATTTACACAACAAATAGCAAACTATTTTTTTCTTATTAATTGTTGCTTCTTTGAACCCGAGCTTAATCAGTTGGTTGTGTGCTGACTATCGAGCTGCTTTTATTATGTCGGCTTCTGTTTTTCGTTAACGACGAGTATTTCTGATTATTATTTTTTAACTTAAATCAAACCCCTTTTCTTCTCTCTTTTTGGTATCCAAAAGCCGAATCTTCTGGGTAACTTGAAGGGATCTGTCGATGACGGTTTCAACAAAATAATCGAAGAGTTACGATAAAACCTTGAATGCATTCAGATTCTGGAACAAACAAAAAACAAATATTTATTTTCTTTGGTCAATATTTAATGCGACGATTTCAATTTAACAAACTCCATTGAAAAGATAAATGAATGATAACGAAGATGGACACATTACTACATTTTATCGCTGCTTCAACTTAAATGTAATGTGTTTTTCACGAACAAATGATTCATACTAACTCTGTCTCGACAAAAAAAGTTGCATTAATTTAAAGTTAGCTTTCCTAACTCCCAAAATCTCTGCTGTAAATTGTAATGTCAATGTGACACTAATTTAGAATGACTCTTAGGTGAATAAATATAACCACATTCCACCGCAATGAGGGAACGCCGAGAGCGCACTGGAAATAGAAGCGTCAAGAAAATTCAGGTAATGGAAACGGAAGATTTTTAATGAGATAATATCTGACGCAGAACTTGATTGATTAAGTATAACTAAGTATTTATATTAGGATAAATTGCTAGGAGTTGTAATTATTTACTCATTGAAGAGAATCCACACCAAAATCCCGACCCGTAATTGTAATTAGAATTGAGTGATCGATTATATTTGTAACAACACTCAATTTACCTAATAACATAGTTGGGAACACTGTAGCTACGAATTTTACTCACCCGAAAACTTTGTGACGTAACATAACATAAATTACAATAATTCCAACAAATAATTTAATAAACAAATTTATGAAACCGCAAATTGTAAAACTGAATTTACAATGCGAAACAAAATTTATTTTTGTTTATAGGCTCTTGGTTATATAATTTGTTCTTTATTCATTCGCGAATTGGAAACAGGATGAAAGGTATCTATGCTACCTTCATGCTTTATTGATGAAAAATTAACAGTGTTTGTGAAATTGCCTTTTAATGAGCGTGAAAAACCAAAACCTATGCCAAGTTGGCACAAATTCTAAGAATATTTAAAATTTATTAAAGTTAAAATTTAAAGTTTATGTATGTTATTACTTCAGGAACAAAAAATAGGTTTGTTTTACAGTTACTTTCCACGAAAATCGTCCGAATTTTGGCAAGAGTTTAAACTGTTGTTATTAATTCCCAAATTTTATATACATATACTATTTTCACGAAGTTTGCTACGAACTGCCTGCCATCTACCGATCACATGAAAAAATTACGTATTAAGATTTATGTTTTACTACTATTAGTATTCAGAAGCCACTTTGTTTTATAGTTCTGGTTTTTTTAGACAGATATTTTGAATAAAACATCTATTTTTTATTGTATTTTAATTTTTAAAATATCAGTATCTTCGCATTCGAACTACGATGAAATGGCTGCTATATTGAAGATAATGGAACTAGTACGAATAAATTCAACTTTTTATGTAGCCAAGCTGGATGATGCTATAATCATTTCAGTTATATGGTCTCCAGTGAAAAAATGGAGATTGATCTAATTTTGCAATAGAGATATGATTTTAAAATCGTTGTTTCTAAGTTAATCTCTAAGATTTTACAAAGATAATAATCCAAAATGTAGAGATAAATAACAGTCTGGATTTTATCTGTTAATTTTGTTCTGAATCTAACGTCCAAAAATCTAAAGTTCCAAAATTATCCACTCCTTTTTCCATGTATTTTTGTAATAAAAAACATTCAATACACAAAGTTTTAAATATTCAAGTCAGCATGCAGTATTAAAAAAATCAGTGACATCTAAGGCTAATATTGAAAAAAAAAGGAGATTTTGATGCAGAAAAATGTGAAATAAAAAACGCTTTTTTATATGTTTATTAATATAGAACAGTAACAATTTTCAGTTATACTTTTCTTGGCCGTTGCAGGATTAACGATTTATATGAAACACTGAGCATCAGAACGTTTACATAACTAATCTCGAACTATATTACCTTTTTAGAAAACACTACAAAGAATAATAAATTTACTGGAGAACTGAATATCCATCACAATATTTTTCAACTTTTAATAACCGCACAATCCATCTGATTTGGCACCCTTAAATGAGAAACAGTTTTTAAAAAAAGTTATAACTGCAACATTCGTAGAGCATGGTATATATTACAGTTAACTATAATGCCACCCAACTTCCTTTTTAAAGTGTGTCCACTACGTTGAACGAGGACGTCACTGCTACGCAAGTAATACGTAGGTACATTTCCGTTCAGAAATAGCTACGTATGACGTTTTTCTAAAATTGAACCGTACATTCGTTGCCAAATATTTTACGTGTTTTTAAGTCTAATATGTGTGGTGTCTACAGTAGCACGTGTACTAAATTTGAGTAGTAAATAAAATCGTCTCGAATCAAGTTATTCTGACGAAAATCTAGGACATGGTGGAAAATAACAAAAATTCAAGGCAGGCACGCACATCCTCATTAAACCAAATTAAAACGTGTCCATGATGTTAACTACACCTACGTTTGCAAATATATGTTACATAATTTATGTGTGTAATAATTTTAGATTAAAAAACCATTCATTTTATAGAGAACTAAATTAACTATATCCATCTGCAGCGGAACAATGCTAGTGACGTCACAATGGCGATTATTTGTCAGTCTATTACTGTTAATTATCAAGATCAAGAACTTTCCTTGCGGGGAGGCAACTGACTAAAGAGCAAATTAAATTTTTCGCGCAAGTGTGAATCACTGATCTAAAAGAGGAATTGAGTGTAATGGAGCTTACGCAAGTACAGGATGGTTTAATAAATTAGGCATTTGACAGTTTCTATTCGCAGATAAATCTACACCACAAAATTTTAAAGTACACAAACAAATTAACAGGCATAAGTCAAAATTTTAAAAAATGTTTCAGTTTAGATTAAAATAAAATCATATTATTATTAAAGCACAAGTACGACCGTATCTCAGTGTGTATTTGTCAATAAATATTTATTTAATAATTATCTGAGATAACGTCATCACAGTCAAAAGGAAGGGATGAATAAATGATAGGTGGTTAATGTTCTGTAATCCATAAATTACGGTTTGTTTTTCTAAATAAAGGAAGTCTGTTATGTAATCTGTCAAAAAAACTATAAAAATTTCATGGCCCCAATTGTTTGTTTTCAGTATAACCCATACAAAAAAGTTAAAAATAGAGGTGGCTGTATACTATATTGCTCGTACCAAGTGTGACTTACTTACGATATTTTTCGATGACGTCACGTTCAGATTTACACGATAATTTTAAAGAAATCGGTTCGTTAGTTTCGCAATTATGTAACTTTGTTTGGTTTCACCAGAATAATTTCTTAAACACTTTTCCAAAAAAGAAATACTTGCGGTTTTTTTTTTAAATTAACTGGGTTTATGGCTGATGCGGATGCTTTTTTAAACCTACATAAAATGTTTTAATCTGATTAATGCAGAATTTATTGCTACCACTCACCATAAGTCAACTGCACTGTAGTTTATTTAAGTCTGTTTTTATCTAAAGCACAGTCACAAAACACCTTATTGTTTTATTAATTTACAATAAGATAAAATTTTTAACGCCGCAAAAAATAGTCATTCAACAAATACGGACAGCAACGGTCCAAATTTATTATCAAATAAACGCCTATTAAAGCGTACAATAATGGTCACTCAATTATAACTATGTCAATAAGATACAATTATGTACAAAATTTCAAAATAAACCACAGAGCACTGAAAAACATATTAAGCAAACAGAAATGTCTATAATTATTCAGCAACTAATATGAATTACAAATACTTAATGATTGTGGAGGCACGTTTTCAGTGTTTGGAAAAGTACGGTGTCAAAAGCGAGCTAATTTTCTAATTTGAAATTCTTTTCAGTTTTTATTATACAATAAAAACATTTTTTCTTTCTTTATCGAGACAAACATTTCTGATAAGTTTTAATCTTGAAGTAAAATTTGTGCTTGATGTTAACGTGTTGTTTTCGAATTACATTTTAACAACACGGCATTATAATTAAAACATTTTTCGGTTTTAATATGAAAATACAAGGATCTTCCAAATGACAAAGAAAATTACCAAGTCCATAAACAGTCTAATTTACGCAAGAGAATCACACACTACAAATTAAATTTTTTTATTATAAATAAATATGGTTTTGTATACTCATAAATTTACATTGTATAAAGATAAGTACAATAATTTATAAAATCACGTTAAAAGTATAAAATAAACACGAACAATAGTTGTGGTAATTCTCTTACTACAATGCTTACGTAACAACATAAAAATAAACTTAACACCTTGTGATGTTAAAAAGACGCTACACATTACATGTACCCAACAATAACATATTTCATGTCGTATTTACGACGTAATAAGTTTGATGAAATGTTCGAATACACACAACATCTATCCTAGTTGCAATGACGAAATTTATTAATCGGTTCGATTAGAATAATACAAAACTCACCAAATTGTCCATTATAACGCTTAAAGGAAAACAACAAGTGCCACACGTTATAACACAGCGCTTCAAATAAAACGTTTCTGTCAATATCGCTAATCAAAGCAAGCGTTATCTCATATAACAAAAGTTTAACGACTATCTACTCTATAGAGGTCAAGGAATCAGCCATTAATCGAACGGATTGTGCACTTATTAAGGGTAGTGTATCACTTTTCTACTAAGCAAACTAACACATACGTCAGTCCATTATCACCTTACGTTTGTAGCTATTGTTCGCACGACACTGCACGACACTCGGTTTCCAAAAGTCCGGCAAAGGCTTCATAGTGATGATTTAGATTCTCCACGATGTGAATCTTGCACGAACTACCTAGAGCGCCTTTTTCGCTTTTAACTCCGTAAAACACTCTTTTGGCTCTGCTGTGAACCAGAGCCATCGCACAGGTGATGCAAGGTTCGCACGTAGTATACACAGAGTAACCGGTGCACAGGTAAGGACCTTCACCAGAGGTACTAAAACCAAATTGTAAGTTCTCATGCTTCATTTTGAGCAAAGACTGGATTTTGTCATAGTTTTGGTGCCTCGGCCATACACCGCCCTTCTGACTTCTCGCTACTTCATCAATAGCCACCATCACCGCATGTTTCGTCGGGTAGTCTGAGGTCTGGTCAAACCCGAAACCCACAACTGAGGTTATCACAGGATCCACTACAACAGCACTGACTCTAACACTACAAATGTCACAAATATCAATAGCTATCCTCATGAACTTAGCATGCTGTTCTAACTCACTGTCGGAAAAAAGAGAGTTTGTACTTAGTTTCTCCCAGTACGCGTTACTGTGGAAATTACAAGGCCAGAGTTTATGGACAACTTCGTACTGTTTGCGCACTTTTGGTGGTATTTCCGCCACTGCGATAACTCTGACTTGGCTTTCCATCAGATCTACATCAAATCCTTTTTGTTTCAAAACAGTGAGACAGTCATCCTCATCGTTATCCCCCTTCGGGAACAGCAAAATCTCCTTTCCGCGGACCCTTTTCAAATGCGTCAGTTCAGGTATTGGCAGCACTGAATTCAGTTCCACTACTACTTTCGATGTGGTTTTCGGATCTTTAATTGTGCCTACATAAACATCGATCAATGGCAGTTCTTTATATAGCTCGTCCGCTAAGATTGGGGTTAATGTTGGTTTTGTTGGTGTTTCTAATTTTAGTCTTTTCGGTGCGTTCATTTCGGGCGAAAAAACTTCGTTCCTATAGGTTTTGTGAGATGATGGTGGTCATCTAATTATCGCTTTTGATTGTTTAGCACTATTTTCGATCGACGACAGCGCCTTGCCTTCTGCGATTTCCATTCGATACGACCTCGGCACCTGTCACAACCTCACATTATTCTGTTTGCTCATATTACGCATTCTAAAGTATTTATTTGCGATATTTGATATATGGTAACAATATGAATCAATAACGAGTAATTGCATACGTCGTTTGGTTTTCAGGTCCGGGAGTTCGTAGTTGATCGCATTTATTACAACAATTGAACGCAGTTGGAGGAATCGATTATGCATAATCACGAATCAAATGATTCAAGCTGCAGCAGAGAAAACACGTGTCAGATAAACAGAGGATCTTAAGAGAGTTTTATAATAGTTTGGTATTTTGCCAACTGCTTATTTGCTATTCTTATTCGAACGATAGATTTTTTTTAAGTTGAGAACGAACAACTGTAGAGCATCTACAATTGAGATAACTAACACGACTTACTTTACTCACCAGTAAAGACTATTACTGCGCACGCATACGCAACGTCCAGGTTCAAAAAATTGAAACTAAACCATATTCGTATATTTAGGCAAACATTGATCTTGGATAATTCGGAAGTAATGTGTATGAAATTGAAAAAAATGTAAAGGATAAATCTGTATATGAGCTCATTTTTTATACATCCACTTAATTAGAACACTAAATACTTTCACTTCACTATGAATCTACACACGCATACTACCACTAAGACGTGTTCTGTGAAGTGCATAACTTTTTCTGTTCCACTTTATTTATCAGATAATGCAAAGAAAATGGAAGATAACACTTTACACAAGATAGATCGCTGCCACTCAATCTTGGTTTAAATGTCATTATGGATGCTGTTATCATAAAAAAAAATGAAGATCACGTGGAAAACAATTTCAAACATAGATTGAAATAAAAACCTGATACTTGTTCCGGAGATATGAAATTTGTGTCTGTTTAAGATTCCTTTTTTTGTTTCCTATGCACAGTCGCCAAGATAACAATAAAATTCAAAAATAGTTTTTTCATTATTATTTATACAGAATTATTATTATTATTTTCATAATTTGATTTTTTTTTTGCTTTTTAGTTATGGTAACTTTTTCCTTTCTTTTTGTGCACGACATATTTATTATAACAAAGAAAATATGCCAAAAACGTTTTATTCATATGTATAAATTCGAAATGGGTACATAAAATTTACTGTGTTCGTTTTAGAACATTTTGTGATACGAATTAATTCCACAATCACGTACTATAATTGTAAAGAACAGTTTTACTATTTGAAGGATTAAACAATAAAACTTAAAATAATAATTAAACTTAAAGTGGATTCATAAACCACTAATGTAGGAGTACGTTATTTTATTAAATATAAATAGCATTTACTATGAAAAATTTTGAGACGTCGTCATCAAATTGTTGGTGGAGATGATCAGACAAATCTTGGTCAGTCATCTACACGATGTTTATAACATACAGATGAAATTTCACAAGAAACAGTGCAGTAGTCTCCGAGATTATCTGTCTAACAAAACGGGAGACTTATTTTTCGTACTTTGTGAGACAAAAACGTCCATAAAACATTAAAGTAGTCATTCGCCGAATCGATCCTGTTACAATTTACGGAAAAAATGGTATTCAGTTACATAATATATTGTGGTTTTTATCCATTTAAAAATTGCTCCCATTTTTGAAGTAGCAGAAGTATTATGAGATTCTGACATAACATTTCAGTCACAAGTGGCTACTACCGAAGGGTATTTAGAAAATTCGTGAGCTTTCGTCTGCTTGTTATGAATAAATCATGATTTTTTTGTTACGTACCCAAATGAATGAAGTCACAGATCAGGTGTATGCATTTATTAATTTATTATCATCCCATTGCTATTTGTTTATATTTGCCAGTTTGAACTACACTAGTCACTGCTTTAAACGAACAACAGCTACAGCTTGCTTGTTAGTGGGGGTGCCGATTTAACGGTCTTATGAAACATGAATGGTAACAATCACTTACAGTAAGCTAAGAAACTAAAAAAAATTAACATTAAAGAAAAATAGTAACGAGGGTAAGATAATTGTAGCTGGTACCAAGGAAACCGTGGATAAAAATATTTAACTTCCAACTTCTCGTTCTGTATACAATTGCACAAATAATAACGAAACTTTTTTAATGTCACGCATTTCAATCGATAAAACATTGTGTTCTAAACTACTTTCTATTCAATGTGTTAAAGTACACAATTTAATACCATTTTTGATATTCTAAACAGTCGACAACTATAAAAGTGTGATAGTAAAAGGGGCTGTAGAAAAAATGTTTTATTCGTAAAAAAATATTAGTCCGAAAAGCAAGCAATTTTTGTACTACTGAAACAAATAACAATTTTTTTCTTTCCGGCGTATTTGACGGCTAATTTCAGGTGATCCGACTGTTTTATAGCTCTTACAATACGAAAAATGGTGGAAGGTTATTTTAGACAGAATTTCGTCCGTCCCTAGACTACAGTCTAACAAATGCACCTTCTTTTGCGAATTTATTTATTTTTATAATAACTCCTAGAGGTTAAAATAAAAATATGTTAAACCATATTAATTTAAAGAGGTGCAATATAATATTAGAATCGGGTGATTTTTTAAATTTCTGCCTTAGTTAGCCATGACTCTGACGTCAGCCACTTCAATTTCACTGCTAACGTACAGTTTCGGCCAGAAAATCTTGGGGAGTATTTTTCGGTCATTTAAAAAACACGATGTAGTCTACGGGCCGGTTTATAGAACATCGAGTTAAATATTTAATCCTCGATTAGTTTAACAGAGAATTAAAATGTGGAATATGAGCCCGTGATTGGTTAAAATATGTGCGTTGCCTGGCAACGGACCTTAGTTAAAAGTTAATCGCGAATTAACTTTAACTTCGCTTTCTATAAATCGGGTCTACGACTTTTAAAAAATAAATTTTGACGTACGTCATCATCCACATTCCAGTCTACGTCAAAATGACAAACATGGCAAATTTGAGGTTATAAGTATGTAAAGCCTGTTTTAGGGCGTATGTCACTGGAATAACAGAACTGCACAAGATTTTGCCATTAGACATGTTTTGAAGTTTCTTGTTGCCGAAATAATTCTACACGTACTAAGAAAAAAAGGCAAAACGTAGCCCCGCCCACCCGCCCTATCCCAATTGTGATGTTTTTTTTTATTCGTCGTGAACCACGGCGGAGTTTAACTGCAAAATCCTTATTTCTCTACGAGAAATTAAAAACATATTTTTGAGTATCGTGTTGTTCAAACAATACTATGCATTAAAAAAAAATAAATAAATAAATAAAGCGAAAGATTAAGCCCCACCCATATCTGCCCTGATCTAAATAGTAATGAAGTTTTCATTCGTTGCCAGACCTTAGGGCGGAAACTAATTGCAAAATCCATATTTTCCTACAAAAATTTACCATCTTAGACATGTTTTAAGTTTCCAAGAATAAAAAAAATCATCACAATAGAGATGAGGTGGGTGGGTGGTGTTTATATTTTGCCTTTTTTTCTTAATATTTTGTGGCTTCTGGTTTGTTCCCAATCAAATTTTTTAAGATTCTATCAAAGACCATCAGGAAACCTCAAGATCCTTTCAAATTTTTCAGTTCTATTCAGATCGTTTCAAATCCTTTCAGATTCTGGCAGATTCTTCCAGATTCCTCCAGTTTTTTTAGATTCTATTTGATTTTTCGAAATTCTTCAAAATTCTCTCAGTTTCTCACAGGTTCCGTCAGATTCTTTCAAATTACTCCAAATTCCTTCAGTTTCTTTACGAATCTCTCAAATTCTGTTAGATTTCCTGAAACTCTCTAGGATTCTCTGGATTTTAATAATAATAATATTTGCTTTCAAATTTTCCCACATTGCATCAAAGTCCTGCAAAATCGTTTAGATCCTTCAAAATTCTTCTAGATTTTTCGAAATTTCCTCAGATTTCTCTAGGGAAAATGAGAAAATTTCGAGGAATCTAGGAAAATCTAAAAGAATCTAGAGAAATCTGAAAGAGTCTGCAGGAATCTGAAAGGATTTGTAAGGATCTGAAACAATCTGAACACAACTAAAAAATTTTAAGGAATCTTGAGGATTTCTGATGGGTGTCTTTGAAAGAATCTGAAAAGTTCAAAGGAATCTGAAAAACTTCGAAAAAAAACGAAAAATGCGAAAGAGAGAATCAGAAAAAATCCAAAGAATTCGAAAAAAAAAGAGTTGCAAACAAAATTAAAGAATTTGAAAAAATCTTAAATTCTCTCAGATTCTTTCAGATTTTTTCGATACTCTCAAATTCTCTCAGAATTTGTCACCTTCATATCATTTCAGATTCTTTCAAATTTTCCCAGATCATATCAGATCCCTGCAGACTCTTTCACATTCTTCTGAATTCTTTGAAACAGCTAATATCCATCTACTAAGAAACTCAAAAACGTGTTTTTAATTTCTTGTAAAGAAATAAGTAGTTGCAGTTAAGCTCCACCCCCTTGGTTCACGGGAAATTAAAAAAATCATCACAATTGAGAAAGGGCGGGTGGGCGGGCTTACATTTTGCCTTTTTGTTTTAACATGTGTAGACGTCTTTTCGCAACATGAAACTTAAAATATGTTTAAAATGGAAAATTTGTAAAAGGAAATATCGATTTTGCAATTAGGCTCCGCCCCATAAACCCCGCCCACCCACCTCATCTCAACTGTAATGATTTTTTTATTCGTCGTAAGCCGTGGGGCGGAGCTTAAGAAGTGTAGAAAATGATGGCAGCTATTTAAAATATGAGTATTTCCGTGAACAGGTGATTAAATAGCTTAATATTAATGTTCTCCCTATTTCAGGGGATTTTGCTTCAAGTTGGCAGCACTGCACAGTACCGCAATTTGATTGGTTGAAAACCCAACGTAAATGGCAACGTAACGACGGAAGTTAAAATTTGGTCATCTCGAACGTCACCCCAACGGCGTGCCAATTTTCAACAGCAACGTCAACGGATGATATAAACAAGGCATACCTTCGCTGCGTGTTTATCTTACAACATAATGCAATTTAAATTTTTTTATCAAAAATTTGGACACCTAGGGTAAAAAATCAAGGCGGATTCATAAACCACAAGTACAGAAATATTTATTTTAAAAATTTTGATAATAGTTACTATACACGTTAAGAAGGTCCCCTCATCAAGTTGTTGATAGGGATGATTAGACCAATTTTGGTTAGCGTTTTACCATCTATACAATATTCCTAACATACATATAAAATTTGGCAACGATCCGGTAGTTGCTGGAATTATCTCTCGAATAAAAATCGACACAGACGGACAGAAACGCGATACCTACTTTTTCGTACTCCAGGGATCATGAAACCTGAAAAAAACTTGAGAGTAGCCATTCGTCGGATGGTCCCTATTATACAATACATCCCCGATTCCATTTGTTGTGTGTTGAGGATGTTATTAGACTAGTAATTTCCAAAACCACTGGACAGACATTTAAAATTAGAACAGCAATTTTTTATATCAGATCTGTGTTATCTTTATGCAGTTTTTTTTAAATTCAAAAACGCTATCTAATATAATAAGATAACTGAGTGAACTTTTTTAAATCACATTTTATAATTTTTTGTTTTTTTTTTACTTGGATATTCTTAATTATGAAAGAATTAATAGAAAATTTGCGATTTATTCTGTTGGAATATTTTATTTATTTGCATTCAAAAGTCCGTGATATGCGTTATATTTCCCTA